AGGAACGAAGGGGAGACAGAATAATTCTTTGCGATTTTCATAGTACATACACATCAATGACATAGTACCATGTAATATACTTTTGCATATTATCGTTTCTATTTCTATCGTTTGTATAGTCAGAAGTGACAAGCAAAAATCCATCCTTTTTTAGACGTTTTGACCAGATTCAAGTTGATGTACACTGCTTTTGAATTGAGAGCCTTCTATTGGAATTGAGAGGGGAATGGAAGGTATCTGAATACATTTAAAGTCAAAAACAACTACAGAATCAACAAATTTGTTGCAATATGATTATATCAGATTAATATCCACCAGCTCTTTCAAGTTTATGAAACACAGAACTCGAAATAACGTTTGAAGATCATCTTAGCAATCAACTCGTGACAGCTTTTGAATTATTGTGCACTAATGAGGCACGCCCTTTTGTTTCCGCGACTGTATCAAGGCGCTGAAAACAATTTCGGAAGGATTTTCGCTACATCAGGTATTACGTATATAGCTATAGCACCTTCTAGTGATACTGACGTTTGATCAGAGTTTTTGAAGAAACGTTAAAAAACTGTTAGTAATATCAGCTTTACTTTCAAGCACAGCCTTTTTAGTTCATGTGGCATTTGCACATACACCTATATCGGCTTCAAACGCTGATTCCAAATCTGCTTTCCCTTTTTTGCGGAGCAATACTCCGAAAGAAGTATGAGCGTATCAAAGTCAGAATTAATCATGCTAAATGACACAAAATTAGCGGAAAGTTTTCCAAAATCAGCCGAAATTTCTGTCAAGTATGTTGACTACAATAAGGAACACATTTGTGAAAATCCGCATAGGTATTTTTGTACAGCTTTTCACTGATTTTATGCCACTTGAGGCTTGAAAAAATTTAGACTTTCAATAACTTCTTCCGGAAAGTTGTTCCGCAGAAAAGGAAGACAGATTTGCAATCCCTTTCAGTACTCTACATAGTGATGTAAGTGTCGTAAGGAAAAGCCACTTTGACTAAAAATGCTTCCTGCGGTGTGTATATCCCTCAGACTGTGGAATTTCCGGTATAAACATAACTATCTGGAAATTTTCTGGACTATCGGGAACGTGCACCGTGCAAATCGGATCTGTAGCGGAGCTTTCGCCCACCACTTCTTTTGTGTTTTCTATCACTTGCGAGTGTGAGATCGCCCTGTCGCCGATATTTCTACTGCCCTCGCATCACAAAGGTGATTCATTCATCGTTGAGTGGAGCCTATTCATACTTTCACAGTCGTTTTATTATTTCTTGTGCAGTCACGCGAAAGTCATCTTGGAAGGAAAGTCGAGTGTTTACTTCGTTCATAAGTTTTGAATTGTGCTAGCAGTAATTTTGCGAGAAAAGAAATTAGCGCAAAATATAATCATTTATTTATTAATACATTTGAAGTGCGCCGAAAAAAAAGGACTCAAACGAGTGCTGTACCAGCTAGTCTCAAAACTCAGACAGATAAAAAAGACATGGAAGAAAACAATTACAAAACAAAACATTGTAGATCACTAAAATATAAATCAGTATTAGCTTGTCAAATGACATTCGAAGACACAGAATAAGTCCTGAAACCTAGCTTCCACTAAAAATTGTGGTGGCCCTTTCTTCTTGCCAGCGAGATTGCGGTCAAAGGCTAGCTGACTAGGCCCAAACAATTTCCATTTTAGAGAAGAGTAGTGTTTTTTTACTCACCTGGCAATAAACTGTCAATTCCCTTGATTAACTTCTACAAGCGTCTTTTTTTTACAGAAAGAGACATCGTAAGCTAGTTTTGTCATCATTCCCACCATAATCATTTTGCATCTGTCTCAACGCACCATTCGAGATGAATCATCTTCAAACTTTATTGTGAGCTTCTTCCGCCAATATCGCCTACGAAAGTTTCGCTCCTGTTTGAAAATTTGTTTAAAAATGGTCATCCATTCTCTGACTAGGAAACGCGAGCACGCTTTGCGTACGTTTGATCAACAAGTACAGGAATGAGTTCTAACGCGTTTTGGTTGATACTATCAAGATTTCGTGAAACAACGTGTTCAAGCCAACGTGGTTTGACGAGCTCAAACATGTTCTTCCACGAATTCTAATACTATATCAACCAAAACGCGTCAAAACTCATTCACGAACTTGTTAATGAGATGTAAGCAAAGCGTGCTCGCGTCTCCTTGTCAGAGAATGAGTGATACGTCAGCCGAATATGTTGCAATTTTTTTTCAAGTTTCTGATCTGCAAGGAAATCCGGATGCAGTGAGGTGAGATGCCATACAAGGAAATGCGATGTTCGAACATGTCAAATATCAAAAGAATACGTTGAATTATGATTTTGTTGCATCTTCGTAGACTTACAAGTGTTCAATATTACTATTTTTAGCTACGTAATTGTTTCATTCCCATGTCTCCTTTCATTTTTCTCATTCTTGATCACTTCATCTTCCAGTTCTTTTGCTTATTCAAATGTTACTTCTTTAGTTCTTGTTAGTCACCTACCTATCATCTGACATCTGTTTTTCTCCTTCAGCTTTTCGAGTAAAAATGTCGCGCAACAGAATGCTATCTTCTCGCATCTCCGAATGTTTTCCCACTGTCATTTGCGCTCGCATTTTATTACACATACGTTTGATAGTCGTCGATCGGTTACATCTATAATGTTTCGTACTCTCATCTCCGGAATTAGCATCCATTCTTAGCACCACACATTTTTTTATAACTATAAATAGTAGATCATTGCTCCTAGATTAGGTTGTAGTCCTCTCAAAGTTATAAAAATTAATCAATGCTATATGTGAAAATGTATGAATAACAAACGATTGAATTGTACATTTTCCTCAGAAAAATCGGTAGATCGCATGACTTTGATAGTAGCAACTAGTAAAAACCTTCTTGAATAGCGTCTTCAGTCTGTTAAACCTAACATAAAAGATATGAGCTCAGTTGTGATATATCACATGCTTGTAACGATCCTCACTATTTTCAGTAAAAGCTTCAAAATTGAATCTTCCCGACTGGACCTGTGACGCGGCAAGAGGCAAAGGCCGTCGACCTGACCTAATAATTATTTCGCAAATTTTAACCCCTACTGTAGTGGAGGATAAGATTTATGACATCGGTGCATCCCTAGATTGCACGTTACAAGGAATAATTTTCTGTTCAAGATAGGCGGACCTGGTATGAGGTGTAAATAACTACTTCTCCAGCAATTCAGCTCTTCATCTCAAGTGTAAACATGCTCAGTAAGAACAGCTCTTGTGTCCTGAAGTACAAGATCATTGGCTTCAAGCGGAAAGGCTTCTCAATGATCTAAACATTTTAGTTGCTGTGCTGTGAATCAACGGGTAAAGGAACCGCCTCCGCGGACCACTGGCACTAACACGGTGCAAGTAGGACGAAAGGACCAGTAGCCCACAGATGCGGTGCCTAATGGAGGTATTCATTCCCTCCCCTAAAATTAACCGATATTCCCGTTTTTTGTTACCACTTCTGGCAGTCAGTCCCTTACCGTAATCTGTTGTGCGCAACCTGACACCTGCTTATTGAGGTTAGCAGTGATTCATAGTTCGAACACATATCTTATTGTTAATCATACACATCAACTGACTAAAGCAAAGTTAGTCTGACTAAGACCATTCACCGTTTATTTTCCGAGTCAATAATTTCGATTGTATACTCTCAAGTGCGAAAACTTTTCTGTTGAGTCATAGAGTCGTTGGCACATAAAGTTGCTGAATTCTCCACTTAACCACAAGGGTTTATGGTATGAGGAGAAGTTCTGTTGACTTTTGTGTTCGACTACTTCTACTCCTCTTACAGAATTCTTTAAGTACTGCTTATATTCATGCTTGTCATTGAACATGCTTGGCAGCAATATTTTTGTGAATATTGTTAAAAATTCGGGGAAAACCTTATAATTTCTAACCTCGCATACTAACTAGTTTGCTACGTTTGACAATTTTTATCTTGAAAATTTCCCGTAAAGGCTCCGAAAAAGGATAAAGTGGACAAAAACTATTATAATTATTGCTCTAACTTCCTCTATACTTCCTCGCCCAGACCAAAAGATTTTCGCTAAACTACCGTAACCTGTAACTCATAAATTTTTGGTTTATGTGTTGGAAAGTCGAAAAATCTTTTTTTTCGCAAATGAGCAAAGATCACATATTGAACTTCTCACGTGAATTACGTAGGCTTTTCTTGCCAATAATTTCTCAGACCGAAACCTGCTACACTGTACCGTGTCCCACAGTCCATTATTACACTAATAAACCAGATGCAGTTTTTTTTCGCTGCGTTAGACGTAGAGCCTGCGTCACGATTTTGTTACCAAATTTGGCAATTATTCCGTTACCAAAGCACACTTCTGACTTCTTATAAGCTCTTCTCAAAACTAACAAAGGCGAACTCCGTTTACTGAACGGGTTTTGAGGGATGAAATCGATAACCCCGACGGAACTTGTTCCGCTTCTTCACGAAGGCGTCAGGGCGTCAAGTTTGCGACACGCGCTAAACCACCTTGTCACTTCTTCACTTGCGTTTCTTATCGTCATCTACTATCTTTGGATCATTTGTCCGTTCTCAACATGTTCATCTTCATGTAATGATGTCAAAAGGTTACCGTATGAATGATCCTTCACTTGTCTGACTAATTCTATAAGAAAGTAAGAGTCAACAACTAGAGTCTACCAGAAGTGCTACATACTTTACTCAATGATCTATTTGTTTCTAGAGACTTTTAGCATCCATTGCTCTATCTCCCCTAGTGATCACCATCCGCATCAAAGTTCGTTCGAAATTTTTCTAATATCACGAAAATGAAGTTTTGGCTGTTCTTACATTCAAGCAATTTTTAGGTATCACAATAATCCGTTAAATCCGTTAAACATTTCCTAATTCAGCTATTTTCTCTTCAAATCCACCTTTCTGATCTACAACTCTTAATTTTGGTAACATTATCAAATATGTGAGCTTACCTGGAGACCGTACAGTATTCTAGGACGCTGATTCTTACAAAGAGTACAGTCTGGGCGAAAATTTAAAGTTGGCGTTCTCAATCGCAAATGGATCGTCGATTGTAAGCTATGGTTGTTGGAAAAACATACAATTGGCTCTCAGTTGTATATATCCACATAATAAATTAGTTACCTAGAGCCCAACCTTCTTGTCGACTGTCTAAATATGACTTAAATATGATTTACTCATCAATTCTGGAATCAGTGAAGAGTGCTAGAAGATTACAAGTAACACAGACAATATTTTCACAAGAGCTTGAGGAAACTGGTTCTTGAATCATCCTGAGGTTTCTTGTTCATTTTTATGTACTTGTTCTCAACATACACAATCCAGGGGAAGGTGCAAATATCCATTCTTTGGTCGCTCCTATTTTTAGACTTTTTGGGGAACATCACCTCGTTAAAGCGGTTCAAAAGGAAATTGAATTGCAGAGTTAGGCAACTCTCCGATGAGGATATCACGCACTGCATTCCACTGAGGCTCAAAATTACGTTTTTTTGTAGGGTTTTATATGTTTGTGAAGCTAGTTTTTGCCTTAAGTTTATCCCAAAATTGTCATTTGTAAGAGAAGTGAAGTCAAAAGTACGTTTTTTGTGGATTCCTTACCAGAAAAGAAGATGGACACATAGACGCGCAAGCATAGCAGCCGCATAGATTTTTTAGAAGATTGTGGAATTACAAAATTATGACTGTAAATGGAGCAGATGAAGAACTAATTTTTTTCGACTAGTTCGCTTTGCAATAATCGTATCGAAATATTGCTTAGTCTTCGATCTGATCACAGTTGACGAAATAATCTGATAACCTCTCGATAAATTACACCTTTCAAAACTTCAAAAGTTTCGATAATATCATGGCCTTGGAGTTTTTAGAAGAAGATTCTAGTATAGACTCGCTTTTAGCTACCGTATCCCTGACTTCAATTTGAGCTAAGTTAATGTTGATTGCATAACTAAAATCTTTTAAAGCGACCTCATATTTTTTTCGGTGGGTCTTCTAACATATCGTTATGGAAACTGTATGCGAGATTTGTGTTTCCATCTTGGATAATACTACATCCTTCGTTCAAATGTTTAGTCGAATATTTACAGTTTTGATTTGCTAAAATGCATGGTTTGTGCTTCGATTCGAAATTTCAAGGAGTGGAGAACAAATATTGAATTATTTTGATTTTAAACTGGTATACAATAAAGCCATGAAGTAGCACAACACACGCAGTAATTTATAAACATCGATGAGCATCAAAGGTAACCAGTATTTTTGGAGACCTAATGTTCAGACTTCTAATTTTTACGGTCGGTCTCTTAACAACGGAAAACATAATGCAAATTTCTCTTTCTCTCTTTTTGTTCGCCCTCGCACTGGTCATTCACGATGATTTGAATCACTACTTTTTTTCTCATATTGCATAGTAGCGGACGTTTGACATCCTGATAAACTGGTTTCTGTGGAGACAAGTTCATTTGCTATTTTTAGATGTCGACAACAGTGAAATTGCTGGATATAGAGGATACGACATCAGATAGTCAGGTACCACTAAATTTCAATGAAAGATTGTGAATCAAAATCTAAATATTTTCGCTGCTTCGAAATGATTAGAAAAAAGTGCTGCTATTTTGGATTTAGTTTTGAATTTGAAATTTGGCAGAACTTCGGGATGAGGTTATTATAAGCGGCGATGTTAATCAAGAAGCTTTTCGTCTTTGTTTATATTGGGTTCCACAAGAAAATTTTTTCTTTCAAAATAGGTCGATATCACCACAGGAATTTTAAAAACCTTAGCAAAAGTTGCGGACCGAAAAGGAAGACCTTTTTACAAGTAATATTTCATTAAGAATAAGCAAAGGTTTTATTTATTAATATTATATTATAATATTATATTTATTAATATTAATATTAACATTATATATTATTAATATTATATATTATTGATATTATATATTATACTATTATATTATTATTTATATATTTATTTATTATTATATTATTATATTATATTATATTATTATATTAATATTATATATTATATTATTATATTATTATTTATATATTTATTTATTATTATATTATTATATTATATTATATTATATTATTATATTATATTATATTATATTATATATTATTATATATTATATATATATTATATATATTATATATATTATATGTATATTATATATATTATATATATATTATATATATTATATATTATATATATTATATATATTATATATTATATATATTATTATATATTATATATTATATATTATATATTATATATTATATATTATATATTATATATTATTATATATTATATATTATTATTTATATTATTAATATTTATTAATATTATATTTATTAATATTTTATCAAATCAGTCTCGTAAGAAACTTGCTTGCGTCACATTTCTTTCTCTCAAAATTTCATGGTTGCAAGCTTTCAAAATTCGTGATAAGCTTTTCTACAAAATATTCTCATAACGTGGTTTATTCCAAGCTCTCACCTTACATACGCTTATTCACTTTTACAACAAATTCATCATATTCATACCCCTCAAAAAACTATGATAGTGCTCCCACACATTACTTTGACTATATCGTTGTATTCGTGTAGATTGGAGTTGCCGGTTCTTTGATGTGTAACATATTCGAGATGCAATAAATACGCATGTATGAGCTTTTCGTCAACCGGCTTTGGCCGCTTGTCAATTTGGTTTTGAGAGAAAAAGAGCGATTGCGTTGACAGCTATGAAAAACGCAAGCGTGTGAAACTGATTCCACGAGGAGGAGGGGGGAGAAGAGGGGGGGGGGGGAGGAAACGACGGATGAGAGTAATAATAAGTGATGGATGTAAATGGTAATCTTTTATATGCTACATAATTGCTTAATCATAATCAGTTCTACTTAAGCACTTCCAAATCCACTAATTCTTCCGGTTTTTATCGGGAGCTCTAAGGAATATGCGAACTGAAAAAAGTACCTTTCTCTTCTTTTTGTTAGGTCGTTTCATAAGTTCGTAGCGCTTTCATAAACAACAGAGCGACAAAACAGTTAATAGTATGTTTCCCGCTGTTGCGCACAACCTTCTGCCACCTTGCCGTCAAATTTTCAACTTCTTTTTTTTTCAGCACCCAGCATGTCTAGTCCCAAAAAAGTCGTCTAACCAGCGCCCAAGACCGCTTTTGAAATCGGAACAAGCACCCTTCATACGGTTTCAGGATAGCGGTACAAGCTACCTGGTAGAGCGAAATCTGAGGGGTATATCTGATACCAATACGTCTCCCAGTCAAGCCTTGCAAGACAGTTTTGACAACACGTTTGCCGTAAGAAGCCATATTTGTCATGCAAAAAAAACTCACTGGACTTGTCTTTTGGGCTATTTTTGCAGTAGGGATTCGTTTAGACAATGCAGTTGGGTTGCATACGATATGATCAACTGTTTTGTTCTTTGTCTGTTCTCTAGCGTTGTTTTGTCTAGCGATTTTCCGTAAAGAACCTCCTGCCCTTCTTGCAAAATGTCCTGTTCAGAGGATATCCCGTAAACTCATGATTTCTTTGGAATAATCCAATAATTTTGATCTCGCCCTAACGGAAAGTCGCCATTTTTCATAAGCGGCGTAAAAAATCTGTGCAAAAACACTATTTGTAAGTAAAGATGAGCAGATGTAAAAAATGTTTCTTCTTATCTTTTACACGGTCAGCTTTCCATTAAAACCAATAGGTTCGTTATAAAGGGCATGATCAACTCTTTCCAACGATATGTGCATCTTGCCGCAACTCAACCGCCTTCCAGAAAAATTGGGACGACTAGAAAATGCTACTAAGGACTCATAAAACTACCTAATACATTGCATTAATCAAACAAATTTTCAGTATGGATTAGGTTTGCGCAATACTGCGCATGCTTTTGTTGAAGCACTGAAGATATATGACGATGCAAAGCGAGCGGACCGTAAAGACTGGAAGCTCAAATCTGAACACAAAGGCGATAAATGCTACAACAAACATTTTCCTATCGGGAAAGTGTACTTCCTTAAGGTAGGTCTAAATCTAAGTTTTTATTTCTAACAAGTTTTTTGTAGAAGTCGTATAATACCGATATAGAAACGATTTTTCAACATCACTGGAATGAGGTGAGTTTTTGTCAGCTTTTTAAAGTTTCTAGCCTTTATTAGAAATGATTTCAGATAGAAGAAACACCTAAGTGGAATCCCAATGTGCATAGCGTAAAACGCGTAGGATGCATAAGTGAACACGCCGACATTCTTCATGTAAATTTATCCTATTTTAAAAATTCAGCATTGGCAAACGTAAGTTTTCAAAGGATAACGGCTATACTCACAATTTGACATTTCGTTTTCTGCAATCTTGTATCTTCCATTACTAAAACTAGATTCTTCTGTGCGACACTAACTTCAAAGTGGTTCAGTGCTGAATGCTTCCTGCTTTTTGGTGCCGTTAAAGGCAGCGTCCGTGCAAGACTTCGGATGGAATTTTTTTTCGCTTACCTGGGCTTATCCTTCCCGCTGATTCCGAAAGTGCAGCTCGCAGAGCACGAAAACGTCGAAAACGGGCTTTTCCAGAAGCCCTTAATTTAAATTTTGTCGCTTGCCGCCAAGGTTAAGACGCAGAGTCTTTGTGGGGCCCTATGTCTTGACTGTGTGCGGTATGCGCACTCTGGCTTATCGAACTAACTTGTCCCTGGTCGCCGGGGCGTTCTAGTCGCCACTCCTGAAGCGGTTTTCTCGCTTCAGAAGCAAATTAGTGGATTGCCAGTTGGGCAAGATCCTTACCAGGCCGGGCGCCCCTGTACTCTACATTTTCGTTTTTGCCGGGACGCTGCCCTTAAGATAATCGTAGTTGCCTTCCAAACAGCAACGATATGAAAGAGCTTGATTGGGTTGAAATCACAAGAATAATCATTACCTTAAAAGAGCAATAAGTATTTTATTCGTAAATAAACAATAGAACCATTGTAAACACGTTTTTACACCATAATAACGTCCACTGGTCTTCTTTCAATCGCGATCCGCGATATTATGATTATCAGCTTATATATACGACCAGTGCGTCACCTCTGCTTCGCAGAGGCTCGCACTGGCTTCACTTTATCCATGCCTTACTCATTTCCTCGTAATAATTACATTAAAACTCACCGCGCTATGTAAGCTACTACGAATGATTCGTAAACAGATACTCATTCCTAGAGGTTTTTCATGTGAGATCGGTATTTTCGCATGTGTGAAATCCTTTCCAGAAGAACAAATGCAAATTTGAATAGGTTTTTGGAATTTTTATGGCTTGGTTGTCGCCATAAGGACAATAAACATCGCGGGGTACATCTCTGTGCAAAAAGCTTCTTAACTGATCAGGTAAAATCTTGAGAAATTGATCGTTTACACAGCCAATGCTTGTTGGCGCTGTTTTCGTAAAGTAGTAGACTTTTCATCACTTTTCTAGGCTAACGTCCATGGCTTGCACATTAACTTGTCAAATATATCCATAACTCTGCAAAAAGTAGTACTACGGACCCAAATTTGCTGGCCAGAAGCCAAGTGGATCCATTTGATGCGCAATTTTCAACGGATCCACTCAGCGGATCCGCTCATGCCTTTGTCTAGTGAGCTATCATGCTGGTAGCGTGCGCTATGCAAAATTTGAGCTCAGGACGTTGGCTGGAACACGCTCTACGAATTTCGTAACGGACAGACAGACACACGCACACACAGACAAAAAGACGTAAACACCCTTAGCCGGTTATTATAAGTCATGATGCTTTGAGAAATTTGTAGCTCTTTGCTGTCTGTTAGATCTTTTTACTCCAGTGTACAAACTCCTTACCAACTGTCTCAAAAAGCTCAGCGGAAACTTTGCTCTATACTTTTAAAGCACCTTACTCTTTCACCTCCCCTCCCCACCTCCTCCTCCCTCAAATGAAGTTTTGTGACTTCGAATTTGGTTACACTTTTTACTCTGGACGGCTACCACATCTCCTTCATTTCAGAGCAGCTGCATGGGAAGACATGAAATTAGTTCATTTGCAGCTCAATGTTAGCAAAATATCTATAGCCGTGTAAAATCAATATAGTTCTATAGCCACGCAAACTTATCATTGTTGATTTATAGTACACAACCTCCGAAGTAGTTGTGATCAAAGGACGTGATTTTGTCGTTTGCCGAATGTGGCGAAAGGTATGTGCTGTGATCCTGCTCCCACTGCAAACTAGAATATTCCATAAATATTAAGGTGGGCGACTCCTATGTGGTTTGTGCTACTAGTTTTGAAAACGACGTTCCTGTTACCCCAAAGAAGAAGAGGTAATTTCATGTGTTGAAGCTACGTAAGCCAAAGTGAAATGTGAATTTTTGAGGGGCTGGGTGAATGTATGCGCTGGCAAGTTTACCCCGTTACCAACAGACCCAACAAAATGCACTATAGAATACATAGTGTCCGTTGATCTCAAAGACAAGCTGACACCGAAAGCGGTAAGTTCATCATGAAAATCTAAGCTCGTCTTCGTGCTATGGATTAATTTTTGCAGGTTCTAAGTTCTGGGATTGCTGATATGGTGATCAAGGATGCCAGGAATGCTTACAAGTATATTGAGGATGAAATATCAAAGCATGAACAAAAATCATAGTCATTCAATGCATTGTACATTCGATGAGAAGGTTATATAAAAGCATACGTGGCTAAACTATTCTTACAATAAGCCATGTCAGAAAGAAGGTTTACCAGCAGCTCTTGTGATACCAAATTGTCTTGAATACAGCAGATAAAAGTCAGAGTAATGGTAGACCTCTACCCATTGATAGTGTCAGTTCGACGAAGAAGCATGAGGTCGAGGTGATTCACTTATATGTTGTTTCTGTTCCTCGCTTGTGACATCCACGATGTTCTTACCCATCAGTGGCTGTATTCACGATTTTAGGTGAGGAGTCATATCCAGCTAATTTCTCTGGTCTACGCGTTCCGTATGTCTTTCGCCTCTCCGTAAACTTCCCTTCGCGGGGACCTACTTTGGGATTCTATTGTCCATGTTCGTTAGTTCTTCTCATTGTGTGACCATAAGTATTCGCTTTCGCAACAACTGAGTCAAGAGAATGGACATCCATCTCAACCGCGTACTGCGATACAAGGTGGTGCGTGTGTCGGTAGACAAGGCTCAAACTCTCGCCAGCATCAGTCCGTACAGCTCTCGACGTGGATACAGCATCAGCCCCCTTTTCAGAAGGCTCTCTGTTTAGGTAATACTGTACAGCTACTCAAATGCACTTTCAATGTCACGTCAACAGTAATGAAATCAAATCGAGCAACTAGGGTCCTTTTCTTAGAAAATGGAGAGAAAGGCTGATTCAGGCCAATCCGTCCTAGATATCAGTCGCTTACTAGAATGTTGTATAGTAGGACAGTCCATTGCGGTGGATGAGTTAGAGTTGCAGGATCGGGCATATCAGATGGTAAAGCTTTCAAAGCAGGCTGATTCATTGAAAGTGCACTGATCTAACTAGTGTCAAACACTACTTTCTTTGCTGGCCTTTAAACACTTGATTTCTCCTAATCCTTTCTAATCTTGCATCATAGCTACCTGGTCATAAGCGTTCTAACGATATGGGAAAATAGCCAAAGGATAATATTGTTCAACACAGTTTGACATAATTTTGGTGGCATCCCTTATTTATAGTGACCCAGCAAACACTGAGGTGTTCCGTTCTGTCCGATTTTTGTTGCCTTATGTAAAGTCGCTTCTTTTTAATCTAGATTTTTTAGATTCAGTGCGCCGTTTTCCTTCAAACGCAGCGTTCCGGCAGATTTTCCATTCCGACTTTTTTTGCATTTGTGGGCATTTTTCAAATACAACCGGATCTGAGCTCTAAGCTCAAAGGTTGAGCACGCCGTTATCAAGGCGTTCACTTTCAAAAAGAAGCGGACGACAGTAATTGGCAATAAGACATGGATACGTAAACCTTGCCTCATGTTAATTTTTCCCTGAATGGTGTGCAGAATGCGGGGCTATTGTGGTGTTTCCGATCGGTATATAGTGGAGTCGTCCGACTGCGTCTCGAGTGAGGCGCGCTGGTAGATAAATTCTTCTCTGTAGGCTAGACACAGTCAGATGCAAATAAGAGGCCAACAGATAGGTCCGCTATTTCAGCGATGTCTTTCCAAAGTTGGCCTTCCGCTTTGATTAAGCTGAGTATGACAACTCTTCACTGTCTCTTTGCTTTTTCCTTTCATGCTCAATGATCGTTTGATACGTATTGCTTTTGAGAGGGAATATGATATCTAGATGAAGGATCAAAAATGAAGGAGGTTCCTATCAAACTGGGAGAAGTCACTTCATGCCTAGCCGTAGTAAAATTTGCACTGAGAACATCGCGATGTCCACATACTATGTTGCACATGTGCTCAAAAAGGCAACTTCCGTTGCAATAAAATAACCAGTCCATTTAATGAAAATGATAGAGTGAACATGTTAAATACACTGCATGTATCGTCGAGTCATTTGTAACTTAATATGCTTAGTGCACACTATACACGCTAACTGACGAACTGCAAAACAAGAACCTGCTCATTTCCACTGATTTCTCCTTGCTTCCTTGTTTCTTTTGTTTTATTTGGTTATATGTTATTCAGTAGAACACATTTCTACATTTTGTTAAGCTAGAAAATGTTTCACTGAGAAGTTGGTAGTATGGGTGCCGTCACTGACAGGGCTTAGTGTGCAATCTCACATATTAAGTTACAAATGACTCGAGGTTATGTAGGTATGTATCCTCAAGTCATTTGTAACTTAATGTGTGAGGCTGCACACTATACGCTACTAGCAACGGCACCCTTACTAGTAACTTTTTAGTGAAACATTTTCTAATCTGATGAATTGCCGAAATATGTTCTATTAATTGAAGGCAGCGTCCAGGCAGATCTGGACCTATGGGGCTTTTACGTTGAAAGTACTTTTGGGGCCCTAACTAAAGACTGCCCAAGCGGCAGCTCAGGTAGTGCTCTAATGGCTGAGATATTCCCCTCGAAACTGGCCCCTGCGAACGTATTCGCATGGATTCCTGGCAGTTTCGCGTCAGGATCCACGCTTTGCGCCATGAATCCATGCGAAACACGGTCGCGGGGTCCAGTTTCGAGGGGAATATCTCAGCCATTACAGCACTACCTGAGCTGCCGCTTGGGCAGTGCCTTAGTTAGGGCCCCAAAAGTACATTCCACGTAAAAGCCCCATAGGTCCAGATCTGCCTGGACGCTGCCTTTAACATGTGTTCAACAAAAACGAAAAAGACCAAGGCATAAGAAGAAATCACTGAAAATGAGCAAGCTCTAATTTTGCAGTTCGTCAGTTAGCGCACGTGGTGTGCAATGAGCATATTAAGTTACGAATGACTCGACGATACGTGAGTTAAGATCACATATGATGACCTGCTTTGGATTTCGATTTGTACATTCAGCCACATCTATATTCACGTGCTTTCCGAGACAATTGTCCTAGGATATGCAAGAAAAAGTTGCTCAGCCCGTCACAAGCATCCGATGCTTTCTGAACTTACAGCTGTTACCAATGAAAAGAAAATGAAAAGAACGAAAACAACCTTACACAGAAATTCTTCGCATGTTGAATTCTAGCGCTGATTTTACGCATATAGGAGCAGAGCTCATTGATGGCCGATGAGGTTGCAACATCGTCGACGTCTAGCTCATAGATGTCCGATGCGTTAAGGGGCTCATGTATGTCCGATGCATTCATGGGCCCATCGATACCCGATGGGCCTATGGTTTCATTAATGCCTGATGCATTAATCGCGACTTTTAAGATCAATAGGACAAAAAGTAGAAACATGTTGCATCTTCTGCAACGCTGTCCTCCCTTTATAGCGTCATCACTTGCTTCCAATGATCTGATCAACAGTGAAGACCAATATCGCGTTGAATAGTCAATTTATGTATGCTGCATACAAAGGTGCCATTAGCGACTGTAAAACCTTCGAAGATTTCCTTCAGCAATGTTGCGAATACGCAATTACCATTTATTATCTTATTTATGCGCTGCACTGAGTAAAAATAAAAAACTGAAAAAAGAAAAACACACTGATGAAGTCGCAAAAGGAGTGTGGTCGCCGTAAAAAAATTTGGAAACTTTCCCCAATTTATGAGTCTCTGATAATGGCACATATTGCCGCGATAAAGATCATGATTTGGGTATCCCAAGCTCACAGATTGTCAGGGACCTAAGTGAGCGCGAGTAGGAAGTCAAGCAGAAGGTCCCTCTTCAACTTTTGAACAATCAGTTTTTCGACGAGACAAAAGTACAGGAAATGATTACTCCAAAACCAAGCAAGTTTTAATGCGGGCTTTACAGAAACAGATTAAGAAGGTGTAAGTTTCTTCATCTAGTCATCGAACCCTCGCGCTATTATCGTATATATTTCAAAGTACATTGGCGCATTTAGATGCCCAAAAATCCATGACGTAAGTATTATACGAGTGTTTTGGCACAAAATTATATTTATATCGCTTGATACAACAGCAAATTTTATAGCATGTAAATTTCCCACTCTTTTGTTTTTCAAAGTTTTGTTGAACCTCAATGCGGTGTGTAGCACTGGATTTATGCTACAAATGATACATCAACAAGTTTGCACCCTTATTGTAAATTTGATCTGTTTTGCCTTTCAAATAGGTGTTGTTGCTATGAAGAGTTATTGTAATTCAACATCTTTTACGGTCTTGTGCCAAGTATTACGTTGTAAAGAAAATTCTGCCAGTAGACGTTGAGCTAAATTGTTCTATTTATATCTTCATCATGAGTTGTCAATTAGCGATATTTTAGTCATGTGTACTGATAACTTAGACTACTGATTAGGTATGTCATGGATGCCCTTTTTCAAGAAGCGCGCCGGCTGCGTTTCAAAACAGGTGGCGAGTTCGATTTATTTCTTGCATGCAAAAAGGCCCGAATGACCGGGGCAAGTAATAGTCGGATATCGCTTATTCATCTAGCCAATATACAGATATAAAGATATTCAAATCAAGCTTCTGAACCGTTCATAATTTGAGAAATGTGCCTTTTTGCAGACCTAAGCGCAGAGGATTTTTCTCCTTTTTTGAGCCTTCTTGCCTGGTTGATCATTTCATCCGATTCATCCTGGTCATTTTTTGGTGCTGAATAATCATTCGTGTTGGGTAACTGGGGCATCGCACACTAAGAACACATCTCAAGCCACCTCCTTGCATTCGCTTCATTTTTAATCATGATAAGAATTGGCAGATATTAGGTTGTAAAGAAAGTTTCCGGGCACTTTTGGAAATTTCATTTTCAAACGCATTTTTTCGGCGCTCGGTCGGACTTCAACGACTAGTTTTTTACACCGTTCAGTAGAGGGAAGCCTAAACTTCTCAAAACCGCTTTTGATTTTTATCGATGCCAAAACGTGTCTGATCTGCACACCAAAAAAGTAAACCTTTCCGACCATAAAAATTTCACAATTTTTCTTTCTGCGGCCATTTTTTTGCGCAGTTCACAGAATTTCGTCCAAATCATGGGTGATCTGATTGAGAAGACTGTTGACTACTGACCCGCAGCTGCACTCGAGTTTGGCGATCTGTGCTCAGAAGTTACAAGCCGTCGAACTTGCAACTGACTGCATCTCTTTTCGCAGCTGGCGTCGCTTCTGCGGAGATCGCCACGCCTGGGTGATGGGTCCAAAAGAAGTGTAAGGCATTACCCCAACAAGATTCGCAGTAATCAAAGTTTTTGGTTAGCCCTGTGCAGAACGAGAAGACTTCAAAGCAACTTACTCGAAAAATGGTACATTTTTGGGGGCAAAAAATGGTCGATTTTTCAAACTTTCTGGGGAAAATTTTTTTGCAGGGAGTCTTTCAAAAACATAAATGGTCCCCATAACAGCCTCGGCAGAACTCTATATAATTACAACATCTGAGCTTTCCAGCTCTCATCCTGCATGAGATAATCCTGCGCAAATAGGCCACTTTTCACGACGACCTTTTTCCCTTCTGCGCATGCTGGTGGACCGCAGTGAGGTGCTGAGAAGCCAGCAAGACAAATATATGTTGTGGACAAAATTGTCATTGCAATGAAGTTTGGAGCTTTAGAAAAGAATCAATCTGCTTGAAGTTACAGCGATTTGAAAATAAATTTCGCAAGTGCCCGGGAACTTTCTTTACAACCTAATAGATACTTGGCACTTAGGCTGTGGAAGCCAATATATTAACGTTACAGAAGGGAGCACCAATGCCAGCGTCGCCATAACAAATGCGCCGCTTTCCTTCTCTTTCAGAAAAAAGGCGTTCAGAAGAGTAACAGAAATAACACGATACATGACGTAACTAATGCGTAGATAGTGTCGGTTTGAATTCTGACCCTTCTGTCTTCAAATTAACTATTGATCGTTATAGGTCATAGGCATAAGTGCGATAAGGGGAGCAGGATCCACTCCAGGTGAAGGGGGTTCTGGCTATTACAAACCTAGAAAATGAAGGGACTAGCTGAACCTTAAGATGAATGCTGACGTAAGCTTATATGCGGAGTGAGACTGGGGTGTGCAAAAGGGGAAAACAAGAGCTACAGAGGTGTAATATGAAGAGCTTTTTAATGCTTTGGTCTAAAAGGTTCCTGAACAAAGACTCTTTGATGGAACATGTAGAATTGATGTGATCGTCTCTTTTTCCAGCTTTTTTGTGAAATCACGTATAAAATTTTCATCTAGCTGCAGCATCAGCTGATTTTACGCGATCACTTTGCGCGCCTTTTTTCCCTAGCTTTCTTGTAAAACGAGTCTGAGCAGTTTTAGCTAGCTACTATCAGGGTGTCCCATAGTTTTTTTACCGTTTTTGCTACAATCGTAGTCTTTCTTGTAATTCTCTTTCAGTTGAAGTAAATCAAGTAATCATTCGACAGAGCAAAGCAAGCTCTACAAGATGGCTATCAAAGGTCCAACACAAATCGTATTCCACTAAAGTTTTGAATTGAAATCTAATAGCAGTCAAAAACGAACTTTTCTGAAAAAATCTATATATCTTCCCCCCCCCCTCCCGAAAAAATCTTAAGAACTCCTTATTTATTCTAGCATATGCTTGACGCATCAAACACTTGACTGTACACTTTTTGTATTTTTCCATGTTTACAAATAAAGAAAAAAATGAATGCAGCAAAATGACAAACTCTGCCCCTAGACGTCCCGAGCTTCTCCCACGCACGTGATCATATAGCTCTTACATACAGAAGTACGAACATGTCTTTGTAATCTTTGAAGGCATCCTAATTCTCGCGAAATGTTAACGTTTACGGTAAAAACGTTAAAAATTTATGGAACACGCTAATATATCAGCGAATTTCCTCAATTATATAATGCTTCATTTTTGAAACGGAAGGGAGGTATTTTTCGAGGCTTCGCTTGTGAATTGAAAGCTGTAAACTTGAAGAGTCTAATTGCTCCCTTATTTTCTGTCATGCCTCCCAATAAGAGAAGATATGATTTGACTTTTTAGTGAACATGCATCCATCAGGGCAGACCAAACTTCTTGCTCTTGCATAACCCTGCGACAATATATTAGGTCGTTCCGAAAGTGATGTCGCTTTTTTCGAATGAACGCCACTATTCGTGGAATTAACATTTTCAAGAGATCTTAGGAGCATTCGATGCAGCATTTCATCCTCTTTTCAACGGTTCTAATTTCACTGCATAATGTTTGATGAGCTCTCGAAAAATTAGCAAAATCTGCGACTCATGCTTTTTGCCATGGTCAAGTTCGGCTATTTTTCTAAATTTTTGCACCTAGTCTCCGAAAAAGTTCAAGTGACAGTTAGATAGAGCAGAGACTATAGAACACAGAGTAATTTTTTCTTTTTCTTAGCTTGCTTCTCAGAGTTTCTACAATCAATTTCTCAATGCCATCAAATTTCATATTTAGTCAAGTCAAATCTCACAGAACAACAACCGGCAAGCGACTCGGGTGTCATTCGATGCAGCTTTTTCTCCTCTTTCTAGCGGTTGTTTTTTGTTCCCGATTCATCAAGTTTTCTTGGATAAAATCATCATAATTCAACTTTTCCAAGGCACCTCAAGGTGTACCCGAAACTTTCGAAAGTTGCTAAACCGAAGCGGTGAATGCTCGTTTGGTCTGTTGCCAAACCATAATCCATCTTTGTAAGTTGCAAAATCCGGAGACTTGTTGGCGTTTGATGCACTTGTGTCTGAGACGAGCCTGCTAAAATTCGGTGGTTCCATCAAAAAATCTGTACAAAAATTATGACGAGCTCTGGAAAGTAGAAAAAAGTTGTGCTGTTTCCTGTAGGGTTTGCTCCATCCATCCATTACTTGGACTCCTTCCGAGGTTTGTTATAAAAATTTAGAAAAATTGTGAAACTTGGCCCTCTCAAAAAGCATAGGTCACAGATTTTGACTCTTTTCTGGAAGCTCATTGACTGCATTGCAACAACTTCATAACCATTAGAAAGAGAATGAAATGCTACATCAAATGCTACCAGAATCTCTTACACATCTTTGTTCCACGATAGGTAGCATATGTTTGAAAAAAAGCGACATTACTTTTGGAACGACCTAATATATCCATTTATGAATCATAGGTTTACGCTATTAGACTAAACCACTCTGACAGGGGAAGGATACTTGATCGAAATGGCGTTTCCACAGGAAATGTATACTGTTTTATAGAGCAGGAACCTTGATTCCACATCTGCTTTCGTTATCTGCACGCTTGTGGGATGGGAGTTATAACAGTTTTTTGAGGCAAAACGTCAAAAATATCCGTAACTCCCTCTCAGAAGCGCTTAGCAGATACCGAAAGCAGATTCGGAATCAGCCATCCATGCTCTCTA